AACTTTACTTTTGGGGGGCTGGCAGGTGGGATGGTGGTTAAGGCACTAGACTCCTGCATGGCCAATCGTGGTTCAAGTCCTGGACCTGGAGGCTTGCTTTCTCACTTTCCCTCTCTTTCTCTCTCTCTGATCAAATTAAATAATAATAATAATAAACAAATTCAATTAAATTAAATAAGTCTTTAACAATCTTTACGTTTTGAAATCTCTCATTCTTTTTTTTTTAAGAGAGAGATTGGGGTGCATGAGTTCACCAGAGAGACAGAAAGTGAGAAATCACCCCCCGGGGGGATGGCCATGCCACAGTCCCTTCTCCTCCATTCTCCTCTCCAGATCTTGGGCATGCACACATATGCACCCAGTGTCAGTTTCAAGGTGCTGGACCTGGGACTAGAACTGTGGTTGAGTACATGAGTGTCCAGGAACGTAACCATTGTGCCATCTGCTGATCCCAAAATCTTTCATTCTTTTTTTTTTTTTTCTTTTTTTTGGAGAGGTTTTTGCTATAGGGCGCATGTGCTCGCCAGACAGAGAGAGACATAGAGACAGAAAGCGAGAAATCACCCCCCCAGGGGGGATGGTCACGCTGCAATCCCTTCTTCTCCATTCTCCTCTCGGGATCTTGGGCACGCACGCACACGCGCCCGGCACGAGTTTTAAACCACTGGGTCCAGGACGCAAACCGTGGTTGACTACGTGGGAGTTCAGTGACATAGTCATTACGCTAACTGCTAGTTCCCAATAATTCTATTTATTTATTTAGGAGAGGTTTTTGCTACAGTGTGTGTATACTCACCAGAAAGACAGAGAGAGATAGAGAGACAGAAAGAGAGAAATCACCCCCCGAGAGAATGGACACGCTGCAGTCCCTTCTCCTCCATTCTCCTCTTGGGATCTTGGACACACACGTACATGCACATACATGCACCCAGCATGAGTTTAAGCCACTAAGTCTGGGACTTGAACCATGGTTGACTACATGGGAGTCCAGCGACATAGCCATCACGCCAACTGTTGGTCCCTCAAAATCTTTCATTCTTAAACACAAGTCAATTCAGTAAAAAGGAAGTCAAGCAGGCCAGCAGGTGGTGTGGTGGTTAAGGCACTGGATCCCACATGGCCAAGTGCATATTTGACCTGGTGGTTCAAATCCTTGACCTGGTGGCTTAAAAAACATGCTAGGTACATGTATGCCCAAAATCTTGTGAGGAGAATAGAAGAGAAAGGACTTCAGTGTGATCTTTCCCCCTTTCTCTCTTTGTCTCTCTTCAATGAACACACGTGGCTTATAGCAAAAAACTTTAAAAATTATAAATAAATAAATAAATAAATAAAGCAATATTTCAATAAAATCGAGGATGAATTTATACATCAAGTCTGTTTTCTGCTTAGGCTTATCCTCTAATATAAGTTTGCTATAAAACCATATTTTATTCTTTGCATTTTTCTTGCTTCCTTCCTGATGTTCCAAGTTTCCCTTAATATTTTTTTCTTTCCCTTTCAAGAACTTCGGCTAGCCATTCTTGTAGGGTAGATCTGCTGGTAACAGATTATTTTAGTTTTTCTTCATCCAATAATGTCTTGACTTCTCCTTAAACTCCTAAAGAGCATCATCACTTAAGATTGGATTCTGAGTTGATAGTTATTTCCTTCAGCATTTGAAACCTGTTTTCTTTCCAGCTTCCATGGTTTCTGATGAGAAATCCACTGCCATTCTGTTTTTCATGTTTATTCACTTGCTGCTTTCAGAATTTGTCTTTAGTTCTCAGAAATTTTTTTTTTCTTTTCTTAGTCTGAAATTGTGTGTGTTTATCCTGATGGATTTTTTTTCTTTGTGTCTTGAATCTAGATTTTTGTCTTTTGCCAAATTTGAGGACATTATAAGTATCATGAGACTCTAGACGTAGGGTCAGCTGGTGGCATGAAGGTTAAGGTGGCTGGGTCCCACATGGCCACTGCACTGCTTGAGTCCAGGACCCAGCAGCTTGAAAATCACACTGGGCACATAAATGCCCCAAATCCTGAGAGGACAGTGGAGGAGAAGAGATTACAATATGGCCATCCCCTCTGGAGGGTGATTCCTCACTCGCTCTCTCTCTCTCTCTCTCAGGTGAGGGCACACACCTTATAATAAAACCGAAAAACAAAATCAGAACCCTTCTATTAGCAGGCTCCTCCGGGTACCACTCTGGTGGGGTAAGAAGGTCATACTACCTGATAATTGCAAGGTGAGGGTGGAAGTCCAAGTTCCCTACCTTGTTTCTATCAATAGCTCTTGGAAAGGGGGATTCCTTGTTACTGCTGGGCAGAGATAGGATTTCAGACTCTCCATGAGGCCATTACTAATAACTCCTTGGCTTGGGAAGGAAGAGCACCCTATTATTGCTTTATGCATGACCCCTCTGACACTATGTATAAGGAAACTCAACACTACCAAGTGTAAATGAAAGTCCCAGCTTCACACACCACCTTCTCTGACACTACCCTGATGGGCAAAAGAACATCTTATAGTCAGGTGAGGAGAGAAGTCTTGGTTCCTCACTCTGCCTTTCCTTATGAGAATCAAGTGGGACCACCATTTTTCATATTTGTTTTCTTAGTGTTCAGCTGCAGTAAAGTGGTCATTGTCATAAAAATTTGTCATGCTAGGTTGCCCTTCCCTTGGCTTTTGGATGATACAAATCAGATTTTTCTTGGGGCTTGTTTTGCTTATATCTATTGACATTTCAGGATGCCAATTTCTTCATCATCCAGGCCAGAATATACGAGACAAAAATAAAATCCCGGAAACTCACCACCTGAGAACAAAGGTAACCTGTTACTCAGGTTACAAGGTCAATAGCTAGACTGCCTGCTGTTCAACTTTCAATCGTTTCTTTAGAAAAAAATTTTAAATGTTATTTATTTCATGAGAGAGAAGACAGAGAGACAGCATCCCCAAGAGGGTCTGTGATACATACCCAGCTTCAGCCAACTCAGGATGTTGGGTACATGCATGCCCAGTGTACTCAGGGGGGTCTCTGAAAGCAAACCTGTTAACTTCCCATGTGGGTCAGCCTGGCAGAGCATCCCATCACTCTACTCCACTACCCAGCCCCCTCAGAGTCTTCTAATATTTGTGTTATATGTAGTATCAAGTGTTTTCAGCTGTACTTAGTGGGAAGTATAGGAAGAAACATGTCTACTCCATCTCATCTCACTACCAGGCCATCTTCACCTATGAAAAATACTTTTTCTTTTTTTTTTTTTTCTTTTGAGAGGTTTTTGCTATAGGGCACATGCGCTCGCCAGAAAGACAGAGGCAGAGCGACAGGAAGTGAGAAATCAACCCCCATGGAAGAAGGCCATGCCTGTAATCCCTTCTCCTCTATTCTCCTCTTGGGATCTTGGGCATATTCCTGGCATGAGTTTAAGACACCGGGTCTGGGACTCGAACCACAGCCAACAACATGGGAGTTCAGTAACATACCCATTAGACTATCTGCTGGTCCTGAAAAATATTTTTATGAGTATAAATATCCAATATATTTTCCATAACAGATACTGATCTATTTTTATTTTTTAAAAGACTTATTTTATTTTATTCATTGTCATTATTTTAATTTTATTTTTTTGAAGTTGACCAGAGAGAGACAGAGAGAAGGAAAGTGAGAAAGCAAGCTGCCAGGTCTGGGATTTGAATTGCGGTTATCCATAGGGAGTCCAGTCACCCTAACCACCATGCAACCTGCCCCCATACTGAATTTTATTATCTCTAAATATTCAATTTCCTATTTCATTTCTGCTCTGATAGTTGAAGGGTCACCAGGTTATGTCATAATTTCCCCAAAGGTACCCATTGGCATTTGACATATTAAGTCCAGTTTTGTGTTGTGTTCAGTCTCACTGAACTTTATATTTCCCTGCAGATCCCCTAAGAATGGGTCTTACTCTGTGTGTACCTCACACACACACAAAGCTGCAGATAGGTTGTACTGAATCCAAGGCACACACAAGGTAGTAACTGAGGAAGCAGCTCTGGAGTCCTTGAGGCTTCTTAGCTTGACCACTTGTTAGAACGTGACCTTTGGGGAGCCGGTAGGCATGGTGATTAAAGGCACTGGAATCCCACATGGCCAACTGAGGTTCATATCTGGGACCTGGAGGCTTGCTTTCTCCATTTCTTTCTTTTCCTCTCTCTACGTATCTCTGATCAAATTAAAAAATAATAATAATAACGAATAGAAATAAATAAATCTTAAAAAGAGAGAGAGAACCTGACCTTTGAACGTTAAAACCGTGGAACTGGGGCCAGCAGTTAGCGTAATGGCTATGTCGCTGGACTCCCCTGTAGTCCACCTAGGTTGGAGTCCCGGACCCAGTTGCTTAAACTCACACTGGGCTCCTGTGCATGCGTGCCCACGATCCCGAGAGGAGAATGGAGAAGGGATTGCTGTGGCCATCCCCCTGGGGGTGATTTCTCCCTTTCTGTCTCTTTGTCTCTGTTTGAACGCACCCTATAGCAAAAGCCTCTTCAAAAAAAAAAAAAAATGGAACTGGGGCAAAGGAACTCACGTGTTATTATCATCTAGACAAAAGGGAGATATGGTTCAAAACCCCAGACGTTACGGTAAAGGTATCGATTTATCAATCTATAAGCAAAAGCGTGAGCACACAGCATTTTACTCTGCCACTCAAGTTAAATGACTTGACAGGAGGCCTGTCTTCTCTCAATGGTTTTCTTTAGATCGCTCCTAAAAGTTCCAAGACAAGGCTCTTGTCATTCCTTGTGTCGCGCTAGAGGCAACTATTACAGCTTGACACACAGTCACGACCTCCCAACACAAGCATCCGCAAGATAACTGAATGTTCTAGGTCACCCAAACTGTCTATAAAGGCAGCCAATTCCCTTCCGGCGCAGACAAAGGGGCGGGGCGGGGCTCGGCTCAGGCGCTGAGCATCCTGGGCACTGTAGTTCGACGCCCCAGCCGCGCAGGCGCATTGGCTGCCTGAAGGCCGGCCTAGCCGTGTCGCCGCCATTGCTGGGAGCGTTCCCGCCCTGCTCTGCGAGTGCCCTCAGTTGTCCTCAGTTCGGCCGCCAGGTACTCATTGCCCCGGGCGCCAAGCCCCGCGTCCCCGCCGCCCCTCCCACGGCGCTTGGCTCCCGGCGGCGTGTGGGGCGTCGCCGTTTCCACCCCAGCCCCTGTCCCTGAGCGGACCCGCCCACCCGAGAGGCGATGGGGGCTGGGCCTCCTGCCTGGGCGGCGGCCCAGTCTCCACCCGGCGCCTGGGCTGGGCGGCCCACGTGCCCTCTGCGGGCTCTTCGCTGCGCTCCGGACGCGCCCCCGGAGGGCTGGAGAGTGCAGGGCCTGGGCTGGGGCTCGACGAGGGCGGAGGCCCCCCGACCTGACGGGCCTGGGCTTCTCTGTCTCGCACCTTTGCTGGACGGAGGCGGGGAATCCCCGACTAGGGCTGAGTCCAACTTGGAAGCCGCCCTGCGTGTGAGCCGGCAAGGGTGGCACTGGGCCTACATCGGGCGGCTCTCACTGCCCTGGGTAGCCGAAGCATCTTGCCAGCTCATTTAAGGCATTTCAAGTGATCACCTTTAAGAAAGAATATAGAAAATAAGAAAAATAGTTAATACACATACACAATTCTTTTTTCCTCCATAATTCTTTTGGGATTTGGAGCATGCATCTATACGCACATGGCATGATTTATTTTTTTTTCTTTTTTTGGAGAGGTTTTTACTACAGGGTGTGTGCACTCATTAGACAGACAGAGACAGAGAGACAGAAACCGAGAAATCACCCCCCAGGGGGGATGGTCACGCCACAATCCCTTTTCCTCCATTCTCCTCTCGGGATCTTGGGCACGCACGCACACGCGCCCGACATTTGTCACTTTCAAAAGCACTGTATCACTCCTCGGCTGGAAGTTGCTGGACTGGTGTGTGGCTCTGAAATTAGCCAGTAACACGCACACGTAACGATTTTTTAAAAAGAATTATTTTAACTTTATTAATTTATTTTAATTTGACCAAAGAGGGACAGAGTAAGAGAGGGAGAGTGAGAAAGGAAACTTCTAAATCCGGGACTTGAACTGTGGTTGGCCCTGTGGAAGGCCCATTAACCACCAGGCCACCTGCCACCCGGCCTACCTCCCAACAATTTTTAAATAAATACACTGACTTTAGGAGCCACAGTAAGGCTTTTCCTAAAGTTTCTTGATACTTTGGCAAGGCTAAGAAAGAGAGCATAGGTGTGAAAGAGAGAGAATTTAGTAAAAGTATGGGGAAATAATGGCCTGCAGAGCTTTAGAGTAATGTCATACTCTTCGCTAATAGTAATTCACTGTGGGGACCAGCAGATGGCGTAATGGTTACATCGCTGGACTCCCATGTAGTCAGTTCGAGTCCCGGACCGGGTGGCTTACACTCACATGGTATGTGTACGTGCATGCCCAAGATCCAGAGAGGAGAATGGAGAAGGGATTGCAGCATGGCCATCCCCCCTGGGGAGGTGATTTCTCACGTTCTGGTTCTCTGTCCCTGTCTCTCTGGCAAGTGCATGCACCCTATAGCAAAAGCCTCTCCAAAAACCCCCCACATCATAATAATAATTCACTGTGCTCCAGTGACTTGCTGTAATCATGTTTCTATACGACCAAACCAAAGTTAGAACGACAGATGTGGATAGCCACTCTGGGATCTTATCTCTGTCCCAAACTCGTGTGTGTGTGTGTGTGTGTGTGTGTGTGTAACTTACTTGGAAAATATAGAAAAGTAGAGAAAATTCTGAACATCACAGCCCCAAACCTCAGAGGTCTCAGTAGAATTTTAGTGTTGCCACTTGCAGTCTGTTTTCCTTTGCCTTAGCTTTACACACCTGAGATTAATCTGAATATGGTGAATTTTAAATAGTATTGTTCTGATTGAAAACAAAAATAGTTATGGTAGTTTGGTGGTTAAACATTTTATTAGCATACTCGATGTATTGCCAAGGAGTTTTTTAATCATTATAAATTTAAAAAGAAATGATTCAGGTCATTTTTTATAAATTTAAGGATGCAGTAAATCATTAACATGGTTCCTGGAAATTGAAAAATCTCTCAGTGTTCTTTGTAGGTGTGCTTTAGTGTTTGGGGGGCAATAGTTTTTATGTAGTCTCTCAGCTCACTTTTTTATTTGTAAAACTTTGTAACACTGGGTTTCTTAAATTGGGAGACAGTGAAAGGGCTTGGGAGAGATGGTCTTCAAATTCTCTGAAATGTTGTAATATGAAACACCACAATATGCATTTGAAGTATTCTGTGGACATGATCAGGTTCTCAAATGACTCTGTAACTCCCCAAAAGTTAAGTTTTACTGGTGAACTATAGTCACTGATAACAATGTGTTAATACAGTTTCAATTACTGGGGTTTTTTTTAAAGAAAGATTTTTGCTATAAGGCTTGTGAGCTTGCCAGAGAGACACAGACAGAAAGCAAGAAATCACTCCGCAATCCAGGATTTGGGGCATGTGCACACACATGCCCAGCGTGAGTTTGAAGCCGTGGGTCTGGTACTCAAACCATGGTCAACTATGCGAGAGTCCAGTGAAATAACGCCATCTGCTGGTCCCTCAATTACTGTTTTTTTTTTTTTTTCCGCTCTAGGGCACGTGCACTCGCCAGAGATACCGAGAGACATAGAGACAGAAAGTGAGAAATCACCCCCCAGGGGGATGGTCACGCCGCAATCCCTTCTCCTCCATTCTCCTCTCGGGATCTTGGGCACGCACGCACACGCGCCCGGCATGAGTTTTAAGCCACCAGGTCCAGGATGCGAACCGCGGTCGACTATGTGGGAGTCCAGCGACATAGCCATTACGCTAACTGCTGGTTCCCAAAGACTTAATTTATGTTAACTTTATTTATTTATTTATTTTAATTTGACTAGGGAGAGACAAAGTGGGAGAGAGAGAGAGAGAAAGCACGTCGCCAGGTCTGGGACTCGAACTGCGGTCAGTCATGTGGGAGTCTGGTGTCCTTAACCACCATGCCTCAATTGCTGTTTTAAATGATGTTCAAGCATAGCTAACGTTTTGATTCTGAATTGTGAGTAGTGTTGTTGGTGTTTTTTTTTTTTTTTTTTAAGTTTTTTTTTTTTACTTTGTTTTCTTTATTTATTTAACTTTATTTATTTATTTAAATTCAACCAGAGAGGGAGAGAGAGAGAGGAGAGTGAGAGAGAGAGAGGGAAAGTGAGAAAGCAAGCTGCCAGGTCAAGGACTCAAACATCGGTAGGCCATGTGGGAGTTCTAGCACCCTTAATCACCCGACCACCTGCTCACCTCTGAACTGTGAGAGTGTTTTAAAATGTGATTTGAGGGGGAAGTTCAGCTGAGGTAACTAATGCAAAGCTATACCTTAGCCTGGGTGGGCCCTGGAATCCTCTTGAATTAAATCCAATCAGGAATTGGCTTTAGGACAATATTTCTTAAAGTTAAAAATCTGAGGTGCTTATTGAAACTGTAGATTTCTGTGCCTTGCACCTGCAGTAGAAATCTCAATTCAAATCTTCATGAAGCCAAGAAATTCCTTCTTAATAAACGTATCTAGTGAATTTTTTGCATCCTTAGATTTGAAATCCAAGTAATTTTATGTGGAGGTTTTCTGGGAAAGAATTAATCATTTTTATTAGATTCATAAAGGGATCTCTCCACCCCCACCCTATCCCATCTCCCCCAGAAAACTGGAGAAACTCTGATATAAGGGAAAGCCACTTTCCATGGTAACCTTGAGGCTTTAATGTAAGAATTCTCCATTATTTTCTCATGTCTTACCTTGGCATTGCATTGGTTTTCCTCCCTCAACTTCTCATTGTTTCTCTTCAACCAGGATCATTTCACTGTGCTTAGCAATACTGTGTCATGAAACAGACTACCTTACACCTTTTTTTTTTTTTTTTTGCCAATGGAGCTCATGCACTTATTGGGAGAGAAAGAGAAAAAAAGAAAGAGACCAAGGAAGAGAAAGTGAGAAAGCACTCACTGTGGAAATTATCATACCACAATCCTTTCTCTCCCATTTCTCCCTCCTTTCAGGATTTTGGACTCACATTCACACACACCCTACGTGTTTTTCAAGCCACCGTGACTGGGATTCAAATGAGCCAACACAATCACCGTACAAAGAGCAGATCCTAGAATAATTTTTTAAAATCGTTCTTTGGGAAATTTTATTTTTATTGGAATATGGTGTTAGAATGTGTATCTGTTATACCCCCTTCTCATTTCTATTTTTGATTTATTGGCATTTTCCTGCTGTTCTGACTGGCCAGTGGCTAGTATATTTCATTATTTAGAGACACAACTGGCTCTGTCAGCTGTTTTTGTTTGTTTGCTTTCTTATTAGTTTCTTCAGTTGTTATTTCTTCCTCTTCTCTTTCTGTATGACTTGTTTGTTAATTTTTTTCTTCTTTGTCTCCTCCTGTTCTTAGGTTTTTGCATAGGGTGCATGTGCTCACTGAAGAGAGACAAAGACAATGAGAAAGAAAGTGAGAAATCACCCCATAGGGGGCATGTTCATGGTACAGTCCCTTCTTCTCCTTTCTCTCAGGATTATGGGCACGTACGCACGTGCATCCAGTGTGTTAAGCCACCATGTCTGGGTCTTGAACCGTGTTCATCCATGTGAGAGTCCAGAGCCTTAGCCAAGCCACCTGCTGGCCCCATCCCTTCTTCCTTTTTATTTTGGTTTGCCTGATATAGAAATAATAATAAAGATCTCTTTGAAAATGAGATCGTGAGGGTCATGTCAAGGTTTCTAATATCATTAAAATTTTTTAATTGTGCTGTTCTTTCCATGAAGCTGAGGCCTCTCAACATTGTAAAAGTTGACACTTCATAGCAACAGCAGGAAAAATCATTCTTAGACTATTTCATGTTTAGATGAGTGAGTGATTATTGCAGAGAAAAATTTTTTTAAGAATTATTATATTTAACTTTATTTATTTATTTATTTATTTTAATTGACCAGAGAGGGACAAAGTGAGAGAGAGAGGGAAAGCGGGAAAGCAAGCCGCCAGGTCCACTACTCAAACCACGGTCACGCATGTGGTAGTCCAGCACCCTTAACCACAACACCACCTGCTGGTCCTGGCAAAGAAAAATTAAATTATGTTCTTTTAATTCATGTAGCAAATTGATTCAGTGGAAGAGTCATGGACTTTGGAGTTAGGTTGATTTGGAATCATGTATCTGTATGGTCTTGGATAATTAGTTTAATTTTCTAAGCCTCAGTATCTTTATCTAAGGAATAGGAATGTATTGGTATTTTTCATTGGATTGATGTGAAGAATAAATGAGAAAGTGTTTTTTAAAGCCCCTTGTACAGTCTTTGGCCTGTTAGTTGTAACAACATTCAAAAGTATTAAAAATATCAAGGTCTCTAGGAGCAAAGATCCTCGTCCCTCACTAGTTTGAAGTTTACTTTCATTTCCCTTAAGAAGGTCATGCTTATTTGTATGTCAGGATTCTAACTTGGTGAGTCTGAAATTCCGAAGGCAGGATTGGTTTTCATGGCTTATTTATTTTCCTCAGATATGTCTTTGCTGGATTCCACTCTTTCTAGAGAGAGGGAAGAGGCAGAGATTATGGCTGCTATGGTTTTTTCTATTGGACATCTGGTAAGTTGGGGTTTCCTCTGTTTCTAAGCTTCTGTCTTGGCATAAGGGTGTGTGTCTGCTTTTCCTGAAGACTTACGATTTCTCTACTTCACTCACATCCCTCTTGGGAACTGAACCAAATTGACCTATGAAAACTATGTTTATCATGTAAAGGTTGTAATCGGTAAGAAGAGTCACTGTATTTACTGAACCAAATAACAGGACACTTGATCTTTCTAAAAATACCTGGCTATCTTTAGTTATGAGAGGCAGTCTCAGGAATTTGCCTTTGGTATTAAATTTGTATTGTCCAAGAAATTTCAGTTATTTCTGGGGTAGTAGAATAGGACATTTTTCTTTACCTTTTTTAAAAAATTGCCTGAGGGTGCATGCACTGGCATGCACATGTGAGACTAAGAAAAAGCACCACCACTACCACCCCAAAACCTGGGCATAGTTATACTACATTTCTATTTTCTCCATTTCTCCATTCCCAGGATTTAGGGCGCAGACACACACACACACACACACACACACACACACACACACACCCCTGATGTGTTTTTCAGGCCACCAGGGCTAAGGCTCAAACCTTAACCAGTCATATGGGGTCCAATTTTTTATGTGTAGCACTTAACTGTTGCATTATGGTGCTATCCCTGGAACATTTTTCAATTGGGAAATTTCATTTAGGATATTTTGGGGGAAAATATATGTACACACATGCTTCTACACACCCACAACCCTAATTCATAGGGAGCATTTCTCTTGTTCCTTCTCAGAGATCTCTCTTTTACCCATTAGCAAATGATCAAACTTAATAGATGACTTCTAGAAATGAAAGATATTTAAGACAGTGCTTGACTGTAGAGAGCTTACAGTCTCATTAACATAAGGCATACAAAAGGAAAAGTTATATAACTTAAGTGAACAGTAGCTGCTTAGCAGTATGATAAAGATAAGTTTTGTATAAGGAAAGAAATTGATCATTAGTGTGGATGGACTGGTTATGGAAAGGTCATCATGGTGATTAATTAGATTTAAGCAGGTACCCAATCATGAGTGGGGTTTAAATTGTCATAAGGTATTTGTGAAAATACTTCAAGTGTGAAGGGAGTTTACGTGTAAGGCTCAGAGACAGAGAACAGTGAATGAGCTGGTGATCCAAGCTGGAAAATTGTGACATATAGAGCTGGAAATCAGACATTTAAGATGAATCTTTTTATGTTTCCCTGAAGATAGTTAAGTGTGTATGTGTATATTTGAGTGTATTTAAGGTGATTTTTATGAAAAGAATTAGTTTATCTCATTTTATTCTTATTTATTTATTTTAATTTTACCAGCGAGGGACAGAGAGAGAGAGAGAGAGAGGGAAGCAAGCCGCCAGGTCAGGGACTCAAACCACATTAACCCATGTGGGAGTCCAGCACCCTTAACCACCATGCCATCTGCCAGCCCCTAAAGTGAATTTTCATGTGATAAAAACTGAGTTTTAGCAGTGACTTCTTGAAATACAAGATTCAGAAGAAAGCCATTATCAACCAAAAACCAATGCATGATGATTCATAATAACCTGTAGTAGTGGTATTTTATTCTTTGTAGTTAGAATATGTAACATGTAAATCATCCTTAAAACACTCTGGACAGCCAGCACATGGCACGGTAGTTTAGGCACCAGAATCCCACATGGCTAAATGTTTCGGTCCTGGACCTGACAGCTTGAAAATCATGTTGGGTGTGTGTGCGTGTGTGCCCCAAATTCCAGAAGGAAAATGGAGTAAAAGGGATTGCAGTGTGGCCTTCCTCCCGGTGGTGATTTCTCACCTTCCCTCTTACTATCTCTCTTCAGCAAGTGCATGCATCCTGTATCAAAAACCTAAAAATGAAAACAAACAACATATTCTGGAAAAGATAAAAATTAGAGGACTAAGTCCGGCTTTATTTATCATAGCCATATATTGTGGGCTGATCAAACCCATCTCCAATTATCAGAGGTTGAAATTTATATTGTTACTAATTTTCTTTTTTTAAATTATTTATTTAATTTTATTTATTCATTCATTTATTTTAATTTGACCAGAGAGAGATACACAGAGAGAGAGGGAAAGCGAGAAAGCAAGCCACCAGGTCCAGTATTCGAACCACAGTCAGCCATGTGGGAGTGTCCAGTGCCTTAACCACCACACCACCTGCTGGTCCCACTAATTTTCTGTAACTTAATATTTGTGCTTTTTTTTAGACAAGAAATTGGGAGCGGGAACTAGAATAACATTTTTTTTAATGAAATTTAAGTAAATAGTCTTATTGCCCATAATTTTTAAATGATACAACATCTAAAATAGATAAAATCAAAGAAATAGTACAATTTCATTTCATTAATAAAATCAGGCCATTGCATGGTTATAGTCTCTAAAGTTTGGAAGAAAATAATGTTATGAGAGGTCCCTAAAGTCCTGAGTGGCTACTGAGATTTACCCCTTAGACAGTGTAAAAATTTTTTAATTGCAAAAAACCAGATGGTGTTACTAAGTTGTGAATATTATTTATGAGCTAGATAGATACCGTCTGAGAAACATTTCATTTCCATATGAAAAAAGACAATAATGTAGTATCTGAAGGCTCTTTATTACTTTTGTTTTGGTTTTAAAATCATACAGCTATGTTTCTCAATCGTGTATGTTTGTCATTGTCATAAACAAAGTGACAGAAGATATGACTGGATGTTATAATGAAACCTTAATTTCAGCTCTACTAAAAGAGTAAAGGTGATCATCCCATATACGTCCATAGTGGATTATGGACGTATGCCTGTTGAAGTTCTGCTGTAGGTCAGAAGCAGCCTGTCACTGAGTGACTGTATCCTATATCCCCTTAGAGTCCTGAAGTTACCCAGGCAGATGAAGATCTTCACCTTCAGGCAGAAGAAACAGAAGTGGTAAAGGTAATATATTGTTTGTAAGGGGAATAAAGAGAAAGTTATCTCTTTTACTGCCTCTAATATTTTTTCTTTAAAAAATAATTAATTTTATTCATCACCATTATTATTTCAATTCACCAGAGAGACACAGAGAGAAAAGTGAGAAAGCAAGCTGCCAAGTCCAGGACTCAAATCACAATTACCCATGTGGGAGTCCAGCACCTCAACCACCATGCAACTGGCTGGCCCAACTGCCTCTAATTCTTAATATCCCCAGTTCATTGCAAGTTCACACAATTATTTCATAGTTGTGGTATCCCTAGGGCTGGTAACATTGAATTGACAGATTTCATTTCTCTCAGAGGTGGCAGCACCAATATGGCAGATAATTAATTATAATTGCTAATGTTACTAATCATGTTGCTAATCATCACATAGTGAGATTCTTGGTTTTACATCGTAAGGCCCAGTACTATTGAAAATATCAAGAATATAGCAATATCAGTGGAAATAACCTTAAGGTGAGTTTAAGTTGATTTAGGTGGTTTTTTGTTTGTTTGTTTGTTTTAGAGAGTTTTTTTTTGTTATAGGGCACGTGTGCTCGCCCGAAAGACAGAGACAGTGTGAGATCACCCCCCCCAGGGGGTATGACCATGCTGCTGTCCCTTCTCTTCCATTCTTCTCTTGGGATTTTAAACATGCACACACATGCACCTAGTGTGAGTTTTAAGCTGCCAGGTCTGGGACTTGAACCATGGTCAAATATGTGGGAGTCCAGTGATGTAACCATTACACTACCTGCTGGCCCCTGATTTAGATTTTTATTTCATTTTATTTGTTAAGCTTACTTTTTTGTTTGTGAATACAGAATCCATCTGTTTTTCAGGGAAAAAAAAGTCAAAATCAAAGAAATTATTGTGTTGAGAAAACTATCTAAAACTTAGAAATAAGGTAAAAGATAAGCATGTGCATTTTTAGGCTTATATTGGACCATTGTGTAACAAGTCTAAGTATCATCTAACAGCAGAGAAAAGGCTACGTTGATTTACAATTTCCTTTTTTTTTTGGTGGGGGGAGAGGTTTTTGCTACAGGGCACGTGTGCTCGCCAGAAAGACAGAGAGACAGAAAACGAGAAATCATCCCCCAGGGGGGATGGCCACACCATAAACCCTTCTCAGGATCTTGGGCACACATGCACACGCACCCCTCGTGAGTTTAAGCCGCTGGGTCCAGGACCCGGACTGCGGTCTACTACATGGGAGTCCAGTGACATAGCCATTACGCTAACTGCTGGTCCCTACAATTTACTATTGATTAATACTTAAACCCTCAATAGTAGATATTACCTTGGAAAAGATTGAAAAGTTGCAAATTATTTTTACCTTTAAGAAAAGGTAATCCCCAAAGTTACAGTATTATTTTCCTGTAAAACATTAACCAGATTTACATGTCATTTTACGATATTTTTCTAGCATTTTTTCTATTATCTGTACATTTGCTTCTTGTATTTCCTTTGAACCAACTTTGACAAGCTGCTGACACTTCATTATACTTTTTAGAAAATATGTTTTTAAGTTTTTGAAAATTATACTTTGAAAGTTGTTTTTGTTCCAGAAATGTTTTATGACAAATGGGGGGTTTTCTTTTCCTGTGTATGAGAAAATACATTCTGAGATTGTCATATATATAATATTTTTGAAATGTTATATTGGACCAGTGTTGCTTAAAATTGTCCTTTATCATAAAACTGTTTCGACTAGCAATTTACTATCAAAATATTCAGTTTCAGACTTTGAATTACGAATCTTAGGTAAATAATATACTTTTTGATATGGAGAACAATTCATATGATTTATTTCTGTTCTTCCAACAATCTCCAGCACAAGATTAATTCTGCCTTTTCTTCAATTCTGTAATTTTTTTTTTTTTTTTTGGAGAGGTTTTCGCTATAGGGCATGTGCGCTCGCCAGACAGAGAGACAGAAAGCAAGAAATCACCCCCCAGAGGGGATGGCCATGCCGCAGTCCCTTCTCCTCCATTCTCCTCTCGGGATCTTGGGCACGCACGCACACGTGCCCGGCATGAGTTTTAAGCCACCGGGTCTGGGACTCAAACCGCGGTCGACTACATGGGAGTCCAGTGACATAGCCATTACGCTAACTGCTGGACCCAATTACTGACTTTTTAATGGTTATATTCAAATTAAACAAAGCTAAATTTATTACTTATAAAAAACAATACAGAATTGGGACCAGCAGTTAGCATGTCTATGTCACTGGATTCCCACGTAGTCGACCGCGGTTCAAGTCCTGGACTCAGTGGCTTAAACTCACGCCAGGCGCGTGTGCATGCATGCCCAAGATCCCGAGAGGAGAATGGAGGAGAAGGGATTGCGGCGTGACCATCCCTCCTGGGAGGTGATTTCTTGCTTTCTATCTCTCTGTCTCTCTGGCGAGCGAACATGCCCTATAGCGAAAACTTCTCTTAAATAAAAAAAGTCAGTAATTGAATTTTATGGATATTTTTGTTTGTTTATAGTATAGCTGTTGTTTTTTGTTTATAGTTTTTGCTCTAGGTTGCATGCGTTCATGGGAAAAAGACAGAGAGAGAGAAAAGAAAAATGAGAAATCACTCCCTGAAAGGGATGGTCATGCCTCAGTTCATTCTCTGCCATTCTCCTCTAGGGCTTTTGGGCAGACACACACACCCAGCATGAGTTTCAAGCATTGGATCTGGGACTTGAACTACAGTTAACTATGTGGGAGTCCAGCACCTCGACCTTCATACCACCCACTGGTCCCCAAACTTCTGATTTTTCAAAATTATTTTTTACCTTCTGATAGTTTTTCCCTGTGAGAGGGGAAAAAAAGACTCTGGGATTTTTGATAATAGTTTTATTATTTTTGGATAACAATTTTATTACAATATTCACATCCCATGAAGTTAATAAAATATGCACTTAAGTGGTTAAATATAGACAGTTTCACCACTGAGTTGTGAAACTGTCAGCATTATCATGCCATCATTCTATAAAAGAAACCCATACCAATTAGCAAGTGGCCCTGACACCACTCCCTGCAACCACCATTACTCTGTCAATGCGGATTTGCCTATTCTGGAAATTTTATGTAAAGAGAGTCATGTAATATGTCGTCCTTTATAACATCTTTCACTTTAGCATATGCTTTAACGGTTTATCCATATTGTAGTGTATTTCTTAAAGGTACCTTTTTATAGCTAAATAATATTCCATTTTGATGTGTACACCACAGTGTAGGTTCCAGTTTTTCCACATCTTCAACAGCACTTAGTATTGTCTGTCTGATTACACACATCTTGTTAGATGTGAAGTGTAAGTGCTATCTTACTGTATTTTATGGTATCTTATCAGTTCATTAGTGACTGATGACTTTAAGCATCTTTTTTTTTTTTTTTTTTTGGTAAACCCAGGCCCCTTTAATTTTTTTT